AAATCCATGCAATTAAGAATGAAAATGTTGAAGCCACAACAAATCCAACAGAAATTCAGAGAATCTTCAATACCTACTTTGAGAAACTGTACTCATAAAATAGAAAACACAGAAGAATGGACAGATTCCTAGATACATATGAATTGTCAAAATTAAATGAAGAAGATATAGAAATTCTAAACACTCCAATAACAATGAGTGAAATTGAAAATATAATAAAAAATATACCAACAAAGAAAAGGTCAGGTCAGGAAGGCTTCACTGCTGAATTCTACAAGACATTTAAAGAAGAACTCTTGCCATTAATCTTTAAACTCATCAAGGAAATTGAAAGGGAAACAAGGGTTCTAAATTCATTCCTGGAAGCAAGTGTTAAACTTTGATCCCAAAACCAGGGAAAGACCCAAACCAAAAAGAGAACTACGGACCAATGTCCCTAATGAACACAGATGCAAAAATCCTCAACAACATTCTGGCAAACAGAATACAGAGGGTCATCAAGAAGATCATGCACCCTGACCAAGTCGGATTTATCCCAGAGATGCAAGGATGGTTCAACATTTGTAAATCAATAAATGTAATACACTACATTAACAGAGTCAAGGACAAAAACCACATGATCATCTCAATAGATTCAGAAAAAGCATTTGACAAAATCCAACACCCATTCAAGATAAAAACCCTACAGAAAATTGGCAAAGAAGGTCTTTATCTCAACCTGATTAAGGCTATCTATGAAAAACCAACAGCCAAAAACATACTAAATGTTCAAAAACAGAAAACTCACACTAAAATCCAGAATAAGAGAAGAAAGCACACTATCTCCACTCCTGTTCAATATTGTTCTGGAAACATTAGCCATAGCAATTAGAAAAGAGAAAGAAATAAAAAGAATAAAGATAGGAAAGGGAGAAGTGAAACTGTCATTATTTGTTGATAATATGATAATTTACATAGAAGAGCCAAAAAAACTCAGTCAAAAGTCTGCTAGACCTGGCTGACAGATTTAAAAGTGTAGGTGGATACAAGGTCAACACTCAAAAAACAAGAGCCTTCTTATAGTCAAATAGCAGACCCATTGAGGGAGAAATTGGGGAAATAATTCCTTTTATAATAGCATGAAACAAATGAAATATCTAGGAATCAACCTAACAAAGGAAGCAAAAGACCTCTACATTGAAAACTATAGCTCTCTGAAAAAGGAGATTGAAGAGGATATAAGAAAATAGAAAGATATCCCTTGTTCCTGGGTAGGAAGAACCAATATAGTGAAAATGGCCATACTTCCAAAACTGCTATACAGATTCAATGCAATACCAATAAAAATTCCAACAATATACTTCACAGAACTAGAGAAAACAATCCAAAAATTCATTTGGAACCAGAAGAGACCTAAAATAGCAAAAGTAATTCTAGGCAACAGAGAAATGGCTAGGGGTATCACAATCCCCAAATTGAAACTATACTACAAAGCTACTGTGTCAAAAACAGCATGGTACTGGCAAAGAAACAGACCCAAAGATCAGTGGAATAGATTAGAAGATGCAGAAACAACTCTGGACATGCTCAGCCACCTCATCTTTTACAAAGGAGCCAATCACCCTCATCGGAGGAAAGATAGCCTCTTTAATAAATGGTGTTGGAAAAACTGGATTTCAACCTGCCAAAGATTAAAACTAGACCCATACCTATC